AGAGCGGGCTTCCCTGGGGGCGCAGTGGTTGAGAGTCCGCCTGCTGATGCAGGGGACACGGGTTCGTGCCCTGGTCCGGAAGGATCCCACGTGCCACGGAGCGGCTGGGCCCGTGAGCCATGGCCGCTGGGCCTGCGCGTCCAGAGCCTGTGCTCCGCAACGGGAGAGGCCACAGCAGTGAGAGGCCCGCGTACCGCAAAGTAAATAAATAAAAATAAAAGCAGGAAGCGTAAGAAGCAGGAACAACAAGCTCTGTCTTTGCACACAGTGAGAGCCATATGTGTGATGGACATCACAGCACTAGCCTTGAGTCCTCCTCCCGCTTTTGAGAAGGCACTGAACAAATTAGCCCCAACCCATAAACAAAGAGCTCGGGAATTATTTGAGAAGTCCCTTCTGGTCTGAGACTGTGGAACTCGGAATCTATCAGTTATGCTCCTTTTGAGTGGAAAAGTTAAGATATAAATATGCCTAAGAGGTTCTTAGACTATTCTCCTGAGCAGGGTTTATCATCTAAAGAGATGCTTCAGTCAGAAAGGTGCCATGTCATAGATGATGTCTCTCAAACAATATTACATGCTCACGGCCAAGAAACAGTGCTTAGTTTACTATGTTTTACTATCCTGCAAATAATGAGCTCACATTTTATAGTGAACAAGATATTACATGCACAACTATCCATATATGTTTTTCTCACTAAGTGATGGGAAAACAACATGAATTACTGTTCAGATAGTGCATCGAAAACATTTAAATATTTGCCTGATTCTTGGCAAACAGAATATTGCAAGTTACCTGTGTATGGAGGTTTTTTTTCCTACACCCATAAACTCAAATCAAATTTTGTCTTTAGCTGTGCCCAGCATTACTTCTGGAATAAAAATTTACATTAAAGTGGTCACTTCTTAAAACTATGCTGTCGGATTTGGTATTAGTGCAAATAAGCAATAAAAAGTTTTGTAAATGTGTAATTCTTAACATTTGAAAAGATAACTGTATCTATGTATGTGCGTGTATGCTTCTCAACAGCCTTGACATGGTGGCATGGAGGGTTATTAAGTAAGTTATCCCATATTTTGTTGAAGTCAGAGGATAATCAATGGTACAAGTTGATTATTTCCTGTTTCCCTTGCTTTCACTAAAGAGAGCAAACAGTCCCATTGTTTCTTGTTTTTCGTACGGTTGTTGAAAACAAAAAATTTTTTTTGAGCATTCAATTCTGTTCATTTTATTCTTTTAAAATTAACCATTAAACCAATTTTAATCTTAAATGTCTTTAAAAGTCTGCCCATTATCAACCTTGATACAGTGTCTAGAATGCTTGTCCTGAATTTACCTAATCTGTGTTTCTGGCTAGGTGTTTCTATAATAAATAGAAGAGCATCTAGTTCTTAACTTACTCATTTATACCAGGTTAATCAGGAATAGGTCAAAAGACCTCTCGCCAAATGCTCCTGGTTTAACAAGCATCCTTCAAATACGGTTGAGTTTAAATGCCCTGCTCTAGCTCTCAGTTCTTCAGACATGCCACATAAAGATGGCAGCAAAATCAATAAATCAGTGGAAACTCAGCCATAGAGGACTGCACAAATTCATTTCAACACCTTGAAATGCATCTGGAAGCAAAGATTTCATTTTATGTTGAAGGTGTTAATTATATTTGATATTTTTAAAAGTAAAATCTGTTTTTGAGAAAGCATCTGCTACCCAGAAATATTATGAGCCACAAAAAAATTTTCATTTAAGTCTCAAGATACTTTCTGTGGGTGATAGAGTCAGTTTTCAAATGATAGTCCATGCTGTCTTTTAATGTTGACATATTCTATGAGAGATATTCATATTCTTCTATTGACTATTGACAAGTATCACCCTGAGTGCCTTTCTGTTTCAGTGGAAAGCTGGAGAACATGTTTCATTTTAAAACTTCAATTCAGATACAGGACAACTGATGCTTCAATAATGTGCCCTCCCTTCAAAATTATTCATTAAGATGTAATTGGGAAAGTTTAAAAATACGCAACAATTCTACATGATGCTCAAAGACATGTACATATGTGATTAAAGTATAACAAAAAACTTGGGAATTAACACCAAATTGACAATAATGATTAAGTCAGAGGAGTGATGGTGGGAAGACCAGACATATAACTGGGAGAGGCGTGCTTACTGTACAGTTAATCTTAAGCTGGGTCATAGCACACAAAGGTTTATTTCTACCCTTCATGACTTTTTACATGTCTTAAATGTTATTATTGGATATACCTTTTGATAGGAGCTATAGATACTTTGGTCACCATGTATAATATAAGAGCTCTAAATACTTTGCTCCCGCACCATTCTTAACATTTCTCGACTCTAAACTATTGATGGAGTCAGAAAGCCATTTTCCTCCAGACAGTGAAAGAAACTGCCCTAACCATCAGATTTGCATGAGAAGAGTTTCCTCTGCTTACTTAGAGCCAAGGACCTAGCCTTGACCCTGAAACAAACCATACCTAGGAAGAAAAACTTGACTGTCTGTGGGTTCCTTTTTCCTGGGGCTGCTGGTCACCATTTCTAACTAATGCCTGTGGCGTTATAAATATAAGATGGAAAACTATAGCTCAATAAACTCCCTTTTGAAGAGTAAAGAGAGGAAGATGTAGGAAGTTGTTATATCAGCCTGTCTTTTTTTATCTTGAAAAATTCAGAGCTCTGTGGTAGGGCACAGAGCTGTCTGAGCTGCTAACCGCTCTGCCCACTTCCTGTACTGTTACCTGTCCCCTTTCCTCTTTAAGACACAAGACTTTCATTGCCATGAAAGGAGTCCTCCTAGTATCTTCAGGATGCCCTATAGCTGCATGTGAGTTACGTATGACTCAGGATCCCCACTCATCCTCTGGCCCATTTTCCTAAATTGGAATTTGGGGTCAGTACCTTCAGGGGTCCTCCCATCACTTATCACCACCTTAGTGATTCCTTACTCTCTCCTATATCTCTGTGGTAATGACTTTCAACTCTAGGGACAGGTTCATCGTTGGTCCCATAAACTGATATAAAGAATTGATGTCTCCTGAAAGGTGATCTAAAATGTTTACTGTCCTATCAGTTACCGCATTTAAATAGCAGACCTAAGATGGAGTGCTAGAAGATGTGATTTCTAGTAGAAATACTTATGTAACACTTTTCTCGAGAATTTGAAGTCCTTTATATTTGAAAATGTAACGTTTTGTCATCATTTCACAAGTGAGAAAATTAAGGCATCGTATTAAGGCTTATTTAAGAGCCAGACTGCCTTATAGAAACAGAAAGATGTTTTGTATAAGTCTTTCCCTGCATGGGATAGTGTCATTGTCACCCACCTGTCTTTCAGGAAGCACGAAGTTCAGTGTTTGTGACTCACTGGGAACCCCTGGTTCCCTACTGTTTCTCCCCTCACCAGGTAGGAGAGTGCAAAGGGCAGCAGGGGGTGGCCCTCGCAGTTGGTTATAGAAGGCGAACGAGAGGTCCTGTGGTGTTACTCATATTTTAAGTGTTTTTATTTTTTTAATGTTTTTAAATTTTTATTTATTTTTATACAGCAGGTTCTTATTAGTTATCTATTTTATACATATTAGTGTTTACAAGTCAATCCCAATCTCCCAATTCATCCCACCATTAAGTGTTTTTATTATGACCATTATTATGCCTGTAGGGAGCTTTTGGGTCTCTACATCCATCCCAGGCCCCTGCCACTCCCTGTGGCCTTACACCCTGCTGGACTTATACATCCCATAAATTTCCTGGCCCTGCTGGTAAGCATTTATTTTGTAACGTCCCCATTTTAGCTGTGGGGAAACTGAGGGCTGAGGTGAGGTGAGGCTGAGTTGCTCTGGGTCCCATGGTGGTAGAGGCGGGTCTAGAACTCAGCCTCTTTCAGGAGGTTGTGGTCAATTCAACTGGTCAAGACCATCCCTTAAAGGAGGGGAAGAGGAACATATCTGGCTGTCCATCTTTTCCCCCTTCCCTCCTTCTCCTGCTTCTCGGTATACTATCAGAAGAAATATAGATGAAGATGTTGCTAGTACCTGACTATAGATTTATTTCACGTTCCTCCTGGCCTGGCTGCATTTGTAGTCTAAGTAACCATGAGAAGAGGAATGCAAAAGGATTGATTCCTGGTCCTAAAATCTCAGACTTTGCGGTACCTGTGATGTTTCTGAACGGCTGAGTCTTCTTTATTGCCTTTCCCATCATACAAGGAGAAGTTGCCTATCAGATAGATAGAAGGCTGGCCCTTTATCCGAAAGGCAGCCCCCATGATCTCGCCCAGTGCAAGGGGCCTAGGGCAGAGGGAGCAGGTGGCATCAGTGGCAGAAGCACCTTTAATTGTGCAACATAGGGCCTGCTTCCTCTTATCCCAGATAGTAACCCAGAAATTACATCCTGAAACTTATTT